ATTGGGGAAAGAGGCATTCCATGCAAAAAGAGCAGTGTATAGAAGTTACAGACAAGGGGAAGATATAATCAAAGAATAATGCGTAGTTTAATTTGATAGAGCTCAGGGTGAGTTACCAAGAGTACTGAGAAGTAAGGTGGAAAAGGTAGAAGGGGTCAGATAATTAGGGTCTCTAAATGCCAGGGGGTGTGGCTTCGGAGGGCAATGGCAGAGTCAGCAGAGTGCTTGGAGTCAGAAAGCACAGGGAAGAGTTGTGCTTGGAGAACAGTCTGGCAGGAATGTGGACCAGGAGAAATGGACGAAAGCTGAGAAACAAGGGGCTAGAAGGTGATGAGAGCCTGCACCTTGGCAGTGACAGGCAAGGGGAGGCAGAGAGACAAGCAGAGGTAAAAAAAAAAAAAAAAAAAAAAACCCGGGCCTCCCTGCCAACAGAGCCACCCACATCCCTCACTGAACAGCAGTTAACAATGCATTAAAATCACTGCCTAATTGCTCCTTTCAAGGTTAATGCTCCAAAATGGGAAAACGTGTGTTTAATGTTTAGTCTCATCTCTGCCACCCAAGCCCCAATTTGAAAGCCCAATCTTTTTTTTTTTAATAGAATGAGATAAAACCCCCAGACACACCCCAGACCCTCAGAAACCCACGTTTTCCTTTCCCAAACATACCTGTCTTTGTATATTCCTGTGTCTCTGGTAGTTCTGGCATGTGACCCCAGGCCTCTCTTGAGAGAATCCCTGAATTGTTCCCAGGAGCCCACCCTCCCTCTCCTCACCAGCTCCACTCTTGGGTCTCCTGGGCCAAGCCCCAGAGGTTCTCTAACCAGGATGATGGGAAAGAAGTCTAGAACCTTAATTGCATTCTTGCCCTTTTAAGGAGCGAAATGGAGACCAGACGTCCCAGCCCCTTTCCCTCCTTTTGCAAGCTCTAGGGTAGGGCAGCCCTCAGTAGCATTGTCCCACCCTCAGTCCACAAAGAGGCTTCTTCTCCTTTCCTCTGTAATCATTCTAACAGAGGATGTGATATACTCAAGGGTGGATTACTCAACAATCAAGGTAAGCACGGGCTTACTTGTGCTTACTCGTTAATATGTAGTGAACAATTTCACATGGGTTTCAGTTCATCGTTGATGTGTTTCAAAAAATGTGAAACTGTTCACTACAATTAGTAAGTAAGCATAAGTAAGTCCGTGCTTACCTGGCTTACTGGATACTATGACTTGTCAGGGATTATAAATTTGAAAAGAGGCTTTGATTCTGTAGGAAGGTGCTGTGGGGTTGGGAAAGAGACAGATGCCAGCCATACCCAAAAGCCAAATCTTTGATGTGGTGAAAAGTGTGAAATTATTCACTAACAGATGAATAAATGAGCACAAGAAAGCACATATTTACTTTGCTTATTGAGTAATCCAACACTGGCTACACTCCCTGCACTGGCTTCCCTGCCCCAAGGAGTGAGGAGGACTCAGCAGCATCACGCATCATCTTCCAGAAAGTAAAAATAGGAATTTAAAAAAAAAAACAAAACTTTTTATTGTGATGTGGGTAAAAGTTTACAAAGCAAATTTGTTTTCCATTCAATAGTTCATACACATTTTGTTTCATGACATTGTAACCCCTGCTCTCTTCGTACTTCCTCCCTGTGTCCTTTCCTATGCATTCCTGCCCTCTGAGCCTTCTCCTCATGCAAGCACAGCCCTTCTCATCTCCCATCATTGATTGTTCTAAGGAGTGTACTTCTCTGGTGTCATCGTTCACATCATAGGCCTATTGTTTGGCTGAAAGTTAAGCCATGGGAGTTCAATTCCAGGTCCAAAGAGTAACTAAAAAACTAAAACCAAACCCACTGCCGTTGAGTCGGATCCGACTCATAGCAACTCTTCCTTGGGTTTCTGAGGCAGTATCACTACAGAAGTAGATTGCCCAACCTTCCTTCCAAGGAGTGGCTGGTGGGTTTGAACCTCCAGCCTTCTGGTTAGCAGTCAAATGCCTTAGGCACTATGCCACCAGTGACTAGGGGCCATAATATTAGTTTTATCAGTCTCTATCAGACAAGTAAGCCTAGTCTTTTCTTTGCTTTTGAGTTTTGTTCCACATCTTTCTCCCACTCTATCCAAGATCTCCAATATTGATCCCTTTCCAAATGGTTGGCAGTGGTAGCCAGGCACCATCTAGTTCTTCTGGTCTCAGGGTCATCATGTAGGCCAAGGTTCCCATGGTCCACTAGTCCCTTGGATTAATTGTTCCCGTGCATCTTCGATTTTGTTCATTCTTCTTTAAAAAACGACATCACCTTAGGATAGATAGGTGGACAAGCTAAATGATTAGGTATGTCTATGAAATGGGGAGTGTATCCAAGATCATATATAGGGTTGGCAGACAATGGTCCTATAAGTTCATGTGAATGATCAGAATTCCCAAGTGTATAGTAAAGCTGACAAGGGGCAAGGCTGGGGTCACTGTTTGGTCATAACCAGCTACCCAGAGGGACCGAGTAGTTGAACCTGCGGGCTTGGGACCATAGTCACAGGGGACATCAAGCTCAATTGGCATAACATACTATACAAATCATTGTTCCACCTCCTACTTTGGCGAGTAGTGACTGGGATCTTAAAAGCTAGCAAGCTGCCATCTAGATGCAACGATGGGTCTCTCCTCGTCAAGAGCAAAGAAGAAAGAAGAAAAACAAAATTAATGGAAACAATCAGTCCTAGTGACTAGTACACCATCCAATCTGCAACCTATACAAGTATGAGACCAGAAGAACTAGATGGTGTCCGGCTACCACTGCAATCCATTTGGAAGGGATGTAGAAGATCCTGGATAGAGAGGGAGAACAATGTGGAACAAAACTCAAAATCATTTGGAGGAAAAAAAAAAAGAAAAAAGAAGGTGGGGACCAGGTTTGCTGGTCCAATAGAGCCTGCTGGAACTACCGAGACTATGGCCCCTAGTTGCCCTTCAGGTGTGGAATTGAACCCACACCTGTGGTTGCCAGCCAAACAATGTACAGGCATGTGAGTTAAACATTCACCTCAAGTAGACACATGCCCTGGAGAGACCAATCATGGGAGAAGGAAGGGCTGCTTATGCACAGGGAGACAGCTCAGGGCTCAGGAGAGTATGGAGGGATGGTCACTGGGAAGAGGTAACTATGGGGAGGAAGTGGGAGGGGAGCTGTTAATTGTAAACTGTGGTCAATGACATGAGACAAAGTATATGTGAACTGCTGTATGGAAAGTGAATTTGCTCCGTAAATCTTCACCCAAATCACAATAAATAAAATAAAATTAAAAAAAAAAAAAGAGAGAGAAGAAGAAAAATGACATCACTTTAGTTTCACTGATGCAGAAGCAAAGTACAGGTAAGAGCGCCTACACTGGAAATAACTTTAAGAACACTAGGGCCTGGACAGCTCTTTCTAAACTCCCTCCTCCCCGTTTCTGTACCCAATTCTACATTTCTCCTACTTCTGGTTCTAACCCAAATCTGATTTCCCTGACTTCTTCGATCACCAAAAATATCAATGTCTTCATATAGTCTGGCAATTCCTACCCTAAAGTCTAGGGGAAGCTTCTCTCCACATTAGCTTCTGTTTGCATCTCCTAATTCTGCAAAACAAACTCAGATAGCTCAGTACTGATTTTCTCAAAACTGCCCAGATCTTGCAGATCTCTGAAACATTCATCTTATGAAATATTGCTGACCCTTAGCTTCCTTTATGAGACAATACTTGTAAATCACTTAGCATACAGTAAGAGTTCAATAAATACTAGCTACAATTATAATTTTGATTATGATTATCTCAAGCTCTGGTCTCAGCCCTGAACCTAAGCTTATTTATCTAATAATGCCTGCTGAAATATTGACTTAGACTCACCATACATGTACTTCAATACCAGTATGGCAGAATATATAGAGCTGGAAAAGTTTACGGCTGTGGATAGGCCTCCAAGTATTATGCACTGGGCTCAATAACTGGCCTTCCTACCTGTGTCAATTAATCTTCTCAACTACCATGAGAATAATTATCATTTTTTTGCATTTATAGGATGAAGAAATGAGATTCAAAGAGAGAATCAGATATCTTAACAAAGTTTATAAAACTACTCAGTGACAGAGTCCAGATTTGAGCCCTGGACTGTCTGGCTCCAGAACCCACTTTTCTTTCTGCTATATCCTGAAGTCCACAACACTAGATGTGGGGTGGTGCTCAGGGATGTGGCCAGGATGCTGAATCAGCTGCTAAAAAGGACTGAAACTCACGCAGGTCTTGTGATCAGCCAGTGACTACCGACATCACCTCTTGAGAAGGGAAACTGCTTCCCCTTATCTTTTTCTCCTAAAAAGAAAGGAGAAAAACCTAACCGCTTATTTTAGTCTCCTAAAACCTCTCCTACCCATTTCCCCTGTGTGAAGTGTTGGCAGGAAATGACAACACACAGTACGCATTTTCAGGGAAGCTTATCCCTCTCTAGAATTGAGCCAAATGGGTTCTGATGCCCATGGGTGGCACTGGTGATCCCTGGCTAGGCTCAGACACAGGTGAAGGAAAAGGTCAAAGTGGAGAGGGAGGGTAGAGGTCAAGAAGAGGGAGGACAGGAGGTGATGAACATAGGTGGAGGTCTTGCTTAAGTTTCCAATGTCCCAGTCCTATTGTGGCCTCTCCTTCCTTGGGGATCCTTAAGAAGCAAAGACCACCTTTGATGAGGTGACCCAAATGTGGACAAGAAGTGATACAGACACAGAACTTCTTAAACTTTTGTGTGCAAGCAAACCGCCTGGGGACCTTTTGAAGGTGCAGATTCTGACCAGAAGGTCTGGGGTGGGGGATAAGATTCTGCATTTCTAACAAGATCCAGGTGATGCCAGTATTGCTGGTCCAATTTGAGATCACATTTGCATACTGAGCATCAGACAGCCTCTCCAGATCCCCTTTGGCTCTCCGACCCTGCGAGTTCTGCTATTTCAAAACTATGCCTGCTATGTTTTTCCCCACAGATGACCAAAATGCCACCTGTGTGGAGCCTACAGAACTGTCAGGGTGGCCCATCACTCGGGTGGGGAACCCACTTCGGTACATGTGCATCACACACCTGGACCGCCAAGACTATATCTTCCTGCTTCTTATCGGCTTCTGCATCTTCGCCGCGGGTACGGTGGCCGCCTGGCTCACAGGTGTGTGTGCTGTACTCTGCGAGAACGCTCGCCGCAAGGCAGATGAAGATGAGGCGGAGGACGAGGTCGGGCAAAGGTTGGAAGTCAGTAGACGGATTATTCAAAACAGAAATGAGTCAGTCCACGATGGGTTCCCTCAACTGATTTAGTTGCCAGAGACCTCTGTCTGATGTGCCTTCGTACAGGCTTCCTGCTTTTTCTCTTGCCCTCCCTCCCCTTCCCAGTTCTCAGTGCTGTGAGAGATTGAAAACTATTTAGTAAAATAAATTAACTCTTCAGTGGCAATTTCATAGGTTGGTCCCTTCCTGCTCACTAGCCTACAGGAAATTCCTTAAAAGGATGGAGATGGGGGAATCCCATTACCAGTCCAGTCGATCCTGACTTGTGGCAATTCTGACTCATGTATATAGAGTAAAACCACTCCATAATGTTTTCTTGCTGTAATCTTAACAGAAGCAGATAGGAAGAAAGGCCTGGCAATTTACTTCTAAAAATCAGCCAGTGAACTACTGTGAAACACAACAGTCTGATCTATGGTCAATGGTGGGGATGGCACAGGACCAGGCAGCGTTTTGGTCTATTGTGCATAGGGTCACCATGAGTCCAGCCAATTTGGTAATTCAAAGGCAGTTAAACAACAACAAAGTGGACAATAGCTACTGGGTGAGTTCAAACCACCAAACTTTAGGTTAATAGTTGAGTGCAAACTATTTGCACCACCTAAAGATGCTGTTAGATGCATCTAGATGTCAAGGATGTCCATCCCAAAAGTAGGCCACCTCACATTTAGTGAGCATCTGTGATGGCCCTAAACTAAGTGCTAGAGACAGAAATACAAGAAATATAAGATTTAAGATCTGTCCTCAAAGATTGAATTCTTTTGGGAAGTCAGATTATTATGAATGAAACAGAGAAAAATACAAGACATAATGGCAAGAACTAACATTAACTGGATGTGTCTATGAGCCTTCAGACACCATCTCATAATTATCATAGCCATCCTATAAGATCGATATTATTTTATGATGAAAAATGGAGGCCTAGGCAGTTTAAACTGACCAAGGTCACTCAACTGCTAAGTAGCACTGTTGCCCAAAGACCACATTATTTCCTTTACTCAAAGTTACCTAAGAAATGTTTAGCAACATAACCAAGAACTCATCACATAAGCCTCGGACAAAACAGAGGAGTAAGGTCTGCAGAGGCCCGCACCACTTACCAACTGATCCAGCTTTATATACATATATATATATATTTCTCATCAGTATAACCCCCCAACCAGGACAGGTGATCATTATTACCTTCATTTTCCTGAAGCTCCAAATCAAAACCAACCAAACCCATTGCCCTTAAGTTGATTTCACTCATAGTGACCCTATAGAACAGACTAGAACTGTCCTATAGGGCTTCCAAGGCTATAAATCTTTATAGAAGACTATCACATCTTTCTACTGTGGAATAGCTGATAGCTTCCAACCACCGAACTTTTGGTTAGTGTTCTGGTTACCTAGTGCCTCTCTGACAGAAATATACCAAACATGGGATGGCCTTAACAAACAGGAGTTTATTCTCTTACAGTTTGGAGGCTTTAAGTCCAAGTTCAAAGTGCCAGGCTCTAGGGGGTTCAGCTCCACCTCCTGCTCCCGGCCCACTGGAGCTAGAGGCATTTATTCACTCAGACAGCTGCTGGCTGCTGAGGCTGACAATCCCAAGTTTGACAAGTAAAAAGGCACAGTCCTGATGTTACCAAACCTCACGGCAGGCCATTAATTTAAGTCCATTGTAAGTCCCAAGGTTGGCAGAGCATGGCAGGCTGCTGAACAACAACACAGCTACACACAGGGTCCAAGCGTGCCATAAGCTAGAGACCATTCCCCAAGGGTTCTGCTTATATACAGGAAGCAGACCACATCCCTAAGGCAGCTACTTAGCTGCTCACAGTAGATTCTACCATGGAGTTAATTACCAATCTCAACATGGGGAGTAACTACATCCAGCTGCCCAGCCACTCAACCAGGCCTAGCCAAGTTGATACACAAACTTAACTACCATAATTCCACCCTTGTCAACTTGGCTTCTGTACAGATCTTCATTGGGTGGCATCTGTACATATCTCTTCTCACTGGGTGGCTCCAGTCCCCTAGTTCCTCTAAGTAGCAACCTCACCCCCTTGGCCTGGCAGCCCCATTCCTCTCCCTCTTGGGCATGGCAGCCCTGCCCCCTCACTCTTGGGCAGCAGCTATGGCTCCATCCCACTAGCTCACATGAACAAGCAGCCCCACATTCCAGAACCAAGTTGGTGAAGGTCTGGCTCTTTGAAACCTAGGGGGCTGTGGTAGTTACACCCCCAAAGGCCATGGTCCTACACTTTGAGGCTAAGGCACCTCTGCTTCCCATTTTCTTGGTCTCTCTGCTTCTGCCGATTAATGCCCAAGGGCAACCCACTCCACCAGAAATCTTCCTCCCAAAACCACTCAGCTTTCTTGCTCCATAGACCAGCCAACCTGCTACTCCATTTCATGCTGATCTTGTCTACAAATTAATGCCCCAAGGCAACTCACTCCCACCAGGAAACCGGCTACCCAGACGCATCCAGCTTTCTCCTCCATAGGCTGGTAAGGCTGTCGCTGTCTCATGCCGTTAATTGAGTGCTTTAATCACTGTGCCAGCAGAGCTTCTCTGCTGAAACTCAGTAAGGCTAAATTAGGAACCCAAGATTGCATTTTGATGAGTCATAGAGCAATTGCTGAACTCAGACTGCTTGGCCACCCAAACCCATTCTCTGTGTCTTTCATGCAGTCTTTCATGAAGTGCTAAACAAAATAGCCAAGTGAACACCAGTTCCCAGTACTGGGTAGAGATACCAAAAAAGGGAGCAGAAGAGAAGGGTGACTCAACCTCCATTCAAAGATCTATTCCTGGTTTTCCCTTTCTCTCTTCCCATATCAACCTATCCTTCAAAACTCAGATCAAAGCCCCAACCCATGAAGCTAACTATCTCTCTACTGCCAACCAGTGTTTTTACTTCTGTACTTCCACAGCAACTTGCACGTACTTCTAATTAGCATTCCCCCCACAGTTTGTTAGGTGCAATGGTTGAGATCATGGGCTCCTGAGTCAGGGCTGGGCTCCTATCCTTGATTCTGCACTTAATACTCTGCGAATGTGTGTGTCCTACTTGAAATCACCTTGAGGACTGAAACTACCTGTTATTCTCTATTGACACAGCACTTAGGGTGGTGCCTTATACAAAGTAGGAGTTCAATCAATGTTTGTTCTAACCCATCAGTCATTCCTAAAATGTTATTACTGAATATAACAAGTAACTATGGGCAGATTGTTTAACTTCTCTCTGCAAATGACAATAATTGCAATGCTTACACTCTATAGAGATATTGAGAATAAAACGAGTACCAATTAAATAATAATAGTAATATATTTTAAAAATATTTTTAGTTTGGAATAATTTTAGATTTACATAAAAGTTGCAAAGATAGCACAGAGAGTTCCTGTATACAGCTCACTCAGTTTCCCCCAGTGTTATGTTTTTACATTACAGTTTTGTCAAAAGTAAGAAACTGACATTATTATTAACTAAATTCCAGACTTTATTAGGATTTCACCAGTTTTTTGCTTAATGCTCTTTTTCTGTTCTAAGAGCCAATCCATAATATTGCAGTTAGTAATAGTATAACTGCTATTTATTGGACATTTCAGATGCCAGGCAATGTTCTAAGTGCTTATATATATATCAATTCATTTAATCATTGCAATAGCTCTATAGGGTGAATATAATTATTATTATCCTCATTGAATAATAAATTTGGGGCTTAAAGAGTATCTTAGTTTCCTAGGATTGCAATAACAAAATACCACAAAGTAGGTGGCTTATAAGAAATGTCTCATAGTTCTTGAGTCCCGAATTGCAAATTCAGCACATGAGCAGAGTCATGTTCTCAGAGGCTCTAGAAGGTCTTTCCTTGTCTCTTCTAGTTTCTGGTAATCCCAGGTGTTTCTCAGCAGCCCTTGGCCTGTAGATGCATCTTCACATGGAGTCTTCCCCTGTATGTCTCTCTCTGTGTCTGTTTTCCTCTTTTATAAGATACCATTCATATGGCATTAGGATCCACCCTACTCATGTATGACTTCATGTGAACCTAACTGATAACATCTTCAAAGAAAGACCCTATTCCCAAACAAGGTCATATTCAAAGATACAAGGAGTAAAACTTTAACATACCTTTTTGGGGATGTAATTCAATCTGTAACAGAGAAATTACATAATTTGCTCAACATTACACAGCTAATAAGGCCAAAAGTCAAACCAGCTCTGTCTGATGATAGACTATTTCCTCCAAAACACTCATCGATACTATTTCTCAAAAATTAAAACTACCAAGAAAGTTCAGACAAAAGAAATCTGAATTCCAGCTTTCTGAAATAGCTTCTCTTCTGAGATTCTGCCTAGATCCTCTCACAATAATTCATTCACTGCACAAATATTTACTGAGCACCTACGCCAACTGGCCTGGAGGAAACTGCAGTGAACGAGGTAGGGTCCCTGTGCTCAGTGTACTCACAGCCTAGTTTAGCAGAGACACAATAAATAGGCCATTTCAGGCCATAATGGTAAGTAAAAACACAGGGGTCTAAGTGTACACAAAAGAGGGACATCTCACCCACAAAATAGTAGGGAGTCTCAAAAGACTTCCTAGGGAAAGAAACATCTAAGCTGAGGCTTGAAAGTTAAGTTCTCCAGGCAAAGTGGCATAAAGGGGGTAGGTGACAAGAAGACATTCTAAGCAATAAGAACTGTATGTGAAAAGGCCCAGAAATGGGACAGAGCCTGGCATGTCTAGAATTTAGAGTCTAAGGGAAGGAAAAGAAGAGAAATAATGTTAGAGAGAAAAGTCCAGACTCTGTTAGTCAGGGTGATGATGGGCTAAGTTGCAGGAACAGATCAACTCCAAAGTCTCCTTGTACAACAAAGATTTATTTCTCACAGATGAAAAGTTCAATGAGGGTAAGACATCCCTCCTCCATCCTGTAGCCACAGCATCTAAAACATAGGTCTTGACAGTCACTGCAGAAGAGAAGAGAGATGTTATAGGCACATAGCTCTTAACTGAAAATGACGTGTCACTTTCATTCACATTCCACATGTTCCCAACTGTACTGCAAGAAAATGTAGTCTATGTGCCCAGAAAGAGAAAATGCTATGGTAAACAAAATATTGTCTCTACTCCATCATGATGGGGAATTTACACTTTATCTTGTGGGTCCCCAGAT